TGGCTAAAAATACTGAAAATATTAATAAATATGAGCTCATCAATAAATATATATTATAAATATATTGAAAATTTGAGTTTATGGTATATTTAATACCCGTAAATATATAGATAATTTGTTCGACTGGTTTTCAATTTATATTATCTCCTTTCTATTCAATGCAGCATTTCGCAAACAAATTAAAAAAGAACATTAATAACGAGTTGTACATTAAAAAAAGAAAATTACATTGTAGGAGCCCGCAAGCGTGGCATTTTCCTCTTGCTTTTCAGCTTTTCTTATCAGCGATGAAAAGTGAACTATTACCCGAAAGTCGCTCAACTGAAACGTGGCGTGTGGCAGGCAGCAACACGTTACCTCGCCCACTACCCTATAAATATAAATATAAATATATGTATATATACAATATCTGTCTATATGCTTAGCTCAGTCCGTGTGGGCGCTTCGAAGCGTAGCCGAAGGCGACAGACGGCAGTAGGCAGCGGGTAGCGGGCGAGAGGGGTATGCAGCAGGACACGCGTCCTGTGAGTGTGTTTGGTTTCAGCGAGGGGGTAGGTGGCATAATTTTGTTGCTGCTTGACGATGTTGTTGGTCGCCTTTTCTTGGCTTGGCTTAAAGTTAAAGGAAATTAAAATGCTCAACCCGGCAGCTGGGATCTGAAACTTCTTTAACTTCCTCGACTTCATAGTTGACTGGCCAAAAAACTATTCAATTGCGGGCGGACGTTTTCTTAGTGGCTTATCTGGCCGGAAATGAGAAGGCCTCCGATGCCTTTGACAGTTGCACAGGGGGGTCCCAAAAAAACACTGAGATGCAAATGCGCAGCTTATCAGCTATCAGCGAGCTTTTGTCCCAAACAAACACTTCAATACTTTTATCTATTGTGTGTGTGTGTGTGTGTTTGTGTGTGTTTGTGTGTGTTTGTGAGTGTTTGTTGAATGTGCTTATCTTTTTGGGCCCGCAGCTTTTGCGGCATTTCTTGGATTGCTTCTACGAATTTTTGGCCATGGCCCTTTCATCAATCAAAAGTGCGTGAAATCAAAAATGTATGCCTCATTGACAGTTGGGGCACGCCTCAGCGCATCCTCATCGCCAGACCGATAGCCGATAGCAGCCCATGGGACCCAATAAACATCGAGGTATGTGCTTGTCCTGTATATGTGCTGAAAACCGCAAGGCAACAAAAATATAAATTTTATTAACCGACAAACGCTCTCGGACAGATGCTACACAGCGAGAAACACCCAACATTCTCACTTACAGCTGGATTTGAGAACATATGCTTCAATTGGATAATTGAATCAAGAAAACATTAAATTTAAGTAAAGCAGTGAACAAAAACATTCGATAAGGCCAACCAATTCAATTTATGCTGTTTAATTTTTAAGTGAATGCATTTGAAATGGGGCTTAAAAGCTTTTAAGCCAAATGTAAATAAAATAAATGAATTTAAATAAAACTGAAAATAAATTGTACAATGACTGTTGACAATTGCTTTACTTTGCTATTTAAAATATTATTAATATATAATGTAATATAATTTTAGGATTGTATCAATTTTCACAAGTGGAAGAGAAAATATTAAATGTAAATACAGCAATGAATAAAAATATTAGATCAGGATAATAAATTCGGCTTATTCTGTTTTCAATTTTAAGCGTAAGTATGAAGACTTGAAAAGCCGCAGGCATAGATAAAATACAATAAATATAGATAATATAGATTTACTATTTAAATTTAATAGCTTTAAGAATATATGAATTTGCATATACGGAATTAAAACCAAAAAGTCTTTTAGCAAACAGTATTGATAAATATCTCTGGAGATATGTATAGCTAGAGATAATCTCTATAAATATATCTCTATCCTCTTCAGATATATATATCTCAACCACAGCTGTGATGCCATGCTAAAATTATTTTTCATAAAATTTATGCTTGAACCAAGAATAAATATTCCTGAATTTTTATTTGAGTGTTTTTTCTCTGTGTTTAGATACAGATACAAAGATACACACAGCTACAGATGTCCGGCACAGCAAATGGTAACCACGCAGCTGCGCTATGATGAGTCGACGGTGTCTGACTAAAGCCGCAAGTCAGTTGCACAACACTACATGCCCCAACCTGCTGCCACCTCCTCTCCGCACCAAACCCTGTCAGCTGAAGCGTTGCTTGGCATTAAAATTGCATGAGCTTGAAGTTGATTTGAATGTGGCGAGCGTCCAGTTGCCAAGTGGGTCACATAGGCGCGACCTGGATGTGTGTGTGGGTGTGTGTGTGTGTGTGTGTGTGTCAGTGGGTGGTTTGGTATGATGAAAATTGTATCACCTGGTTACAGGCAAGACCACATGCTAGTATTCCCAGGCTGACTGGTTGTTACTGTCGAAGTGGGCTGTGTCACGGACAGCCTTCCAATTGGGCCTCCCAAAGAATAGCTCAGCTCAACAGTTGAGCTCTGGGCATTGATAAGCCTTGACATGGAGCTGATACCGAAAAGTAACGGTTATTTCTATGCGTAAGTCTTTTATATTTCGAGCAATTGTTGCCACCACTATGAGCATGCATGCACCACTCTTTTCTTTTTTCAACCCCTCGCGCTACGGAAATCAACGCACGGCAGATGTGCGAGGACGGCAGGACACGCTCGGCGGCGCAAGAGGCCACAGGACATATACGTGTGTATACCTATAAATATATACATATATGTGTGTGTCTTATGCCACATGCGGGACGCACCTTCCCTCTCCCTCTCTATATCGCTCTCTCTCTCTCTCTCTTCTACATTCGAGTGATGGCAGATCAACCCTAGAGCAAAATATGCTTGTTGTTTAATTACAAAAGACAGCAGCGCCTTATTCCACCCATGTTCATATTGTAATCATATTGTTGTTGGTTGTTAATATTAATATAGTTGCTGTATTCGGTGTTTTTGTTTCGCGTTTCACCGCAAGCTTATATGTTTCATATGCTGCGGATATCCTTGATGCGAGCTCTCGCGTTATTTTCTGTTTTGTTTGCATTAATTTGGTTTTTGTTTAATATTTGTTTAGTTAGTTATTCTTATCAAAAATATTTACCCCATATACATACATGCATGTGTTGTGTTGGGCTTATCAATTTTTTCCAATTTTAAAGCTATGGTTGAACTAACCATTTTTGGAAAACCTTTTAAGATAAAAAACAAAAATTGACAAGCAAACAATGTTTCGCAAAGAGAATACAAGTCAAGATAGAAAACGATAAAATGACAGTTTAATAAGTTTTAACGATAATAATAAAGTCCTTAAGAAAATTTAGCCAATATTAGTTTCAATAGTTTTTTTTTAAATATTTTTTATACTTTCTCTTATACATTGAATTTAACTTGGTGAGCAAATTCAAAATAATTATTTTCATTATAATATATATATAATATATCTGCTATCTTTATGCTTTGCTGCTATCTTTTATTTTTGCATTACACATTTATAATACATAATATAATCCTGGAAGAGTACAGGAAATAATAATGTTGTTGTCTTCTTCTCTTTTTGCCGCTTGCTTTTGCAGTACAGCAAACATTTCATTGTGAATAAAGGAATTAATAAAATGTTGAGAATTTCATTTGAAGATGTACTTTGACTGGCATTTGTTATACTACTTTGCATTTAATTCAAATTCCGCAAATGCACGAAAAGGTGAGGGCAATGGAGCAAAACTGGGGCTATTCGGTAAATTGCATTTAAATAATGGCACAACAGTTTTTATTTGTGGCAATTCGCTTTCAGTTTGCAATCAAGACTCAATTTATTTCATTTGCCAGCAAAGTGAGCAAATCAATGAAAATGCTCCTCAACTGCTGGCCAGAAAAATGCATTTATATATATTTTTCAGACTTGAGACACAGACTTTTTGACCTAGGCATATTTTTCTTGTGTTTTTGTTATGCATATTACAATTTGGCAAAATATTTGATGATATGTAAATCCCTTGGAAATAGAAGAATGTTGCTTGGAGTAAAGTAAAGTCTCGCTACATTTGCAAGCTTAAGATTAAGGTGCGTGTCAACAATTATTTGAATCGTTTTCGGCAAAGTGTTAAGAAACATGGCCAGCTGGACTTATTCATTTATCCATTCACACAGTTCCCATTCATTGGCTATGCAAATCCCTGGCACACAAATTTACACCTCGGTTGCAGTATGCAAAGCCCTCGGATAATCCGCATTAGTTGCACAATGCAGATGGTGAGATGAAGTAAATTGGCAGGGTTTAGTTGCCTCACGACGCCAGCCAGTCAGACAGCCAGAAAGCCAGACAGCCAGACAGCCAGCCAGCCAGCCAGCCGGCAAGTTTGTTAGTTAGAGTTAGTTAGGAGACCTGGGCTACCTCGGTTAGCCCCGGACATCGACATAGAGATTGGGAACACTAGGCTACGCAAATTGAATCGTGTTTTGTCAGGCATTTCATTTTGACATTTGTCAAATGTCCGAATGTTAACCTCAATGGCAAGTGAAGTCCAACTGCTGGCGTTGCATTCAATAAAATATGTATTGAATATTGCAATTTTAATTTCTCAATTCATTTTATGTCGCCCAGTACTTGCCCATTGTTTTTCCCATTTTGCCTTTGCTAGCATTACTTACTCTACTATATACACACATATATTCGTGAATTGTACAACATATTGCAGCCACAGGAGTGCCACAAATAACAAATTGCTTGTCATTGGCATCGTTGGTCAACATACAGCAATACCAGCCAGCCAGGGTGCTGCCCCAACTACGCCTCCCATCCTCACTCCTGAATCTGTTGCGGGAGCTTTGCATTTGCAATTTCAATCTCTATTACAATTCATTGAATCCCTTGTATTAGTTCTGTTACGGCACAGTGTGGCAAAACGCTCTGATAATTATGCGAAATCAACTGACTCAACAATTATTTGGAAGCTCGTTCCTTAAAACAAATATTGAAATACACCCATGGAACCATTTCTTATATCCAACTGAGCCATTAATAATATCCTAGACACCGATCAGTTTATTTTCCTGTCTTAAATTCATCTATTGTGCAATTGAAAAACAATATATGTTTTATGTGGTATTAATTAATTAAATGGAAGTGAATGACATACTTTGTGAACAGAAGCAGTTTGTTAGTTGATCAGTTGATCTTTGCATTTACTAAGAAGTTGTTTTACATAGATCTGTTTTTTGATTGCAACCGATCTTCAAATACATACAATTATCATTATATGCAATTGATCTGCAAGTAAGCATAAGCATTATAAATATAATCTAGAACATATTTAAAAACATCATTTTGGAAATGGTGCACATTCTATTACTATTCACCAGGTATGCCCAAGTCTCTGACCATTTCAGGCACCTTCCGACGTTGCAGCTTGTCGTTGGAGGTCTTGGGCAGCTCCTTCACAAAGTAAACCCCGCCACGTATGTGGTAGGCAGAACTCAGATAGCGTTCCACAATGCTCCTAACATCATTCGCTGCCAGCTGTTTACCCTCGGCATCTGGGGTGCGCACCACAGCGCAGGCAGTCAGATTGCTGGAGATCTTGTCAGGCACACCGAAGACGCATGCCTCACTGACGCCGGGCAGCCGTAGAACGAACTCCTCGATTTGCTCCGGATAGATCTGAAAGTTGTTGTATTTGAAGACATCCGTGTCGCGTGTCTGTATGTAAATGTAACCCTCGCTATCCAGATACCCAATATCACCGGTACGCAGCCATTGTCCGTCGGCGCTCAAGGCACGGTTTGTGGCTTCCGGATTGCGATAGTAGCCCTGCCATTTGTTGCGCATTCTCACATAGATGATGCCCACCTCACAGATGCCCAGCGGCATTCTCAACTTGTCCAGCACCCGCAGCTCCACATTACGCATTACCTTACCCTCGCTGCCTAGCGGCCCGCCCAGATTCTTGCTCAAGCCGCCCACCTCGGACAGCCCGTAACCCACTAAGAATCTCATTTTGCCAATTAGCTCGTACATGCGTCGGGAGACCGCTTTGCACACCTTCGAGCCAGCGCCAATTAACACTTGAACTGACTGCAATTGTGCTCGGATCTTTGGCAGATCATTCTGGCATTTGGAGAGCAGTGCAATCTGATGCGACGCCAGAAACAGAAAGGTCACCTTATGGCGAGAGACAACCTCCAACATGTATTCCACGGTGTAGGGTCGATTTGTGATGATCCGCTTGCAACCGTTCAGCAAACACGCCAGCAACATATATGTTCCAGAGATCCAGTAGAGCGGACTGAACGAGAGGACCACAGTGTTTCTCGTGTAGGAATTGGGACTGCACATCAATGAAACATTAATAAGATATCGTTTGGCTTTGAGAGAGAGACTGTGTCTACTTGCTTCTTGCAGTTGCAGATGAGACTCCGATGGGAGCGGGTTACGCCCTTCGGCATCCCAGTCGTGCCCGAGGAGCACACAATGAATGCAGTGTGATCGCCATTCAGCTTCGGACAGGGGACATATCTAAAGGTGCGAGAGGAAGAGCATTGATTATGGAACTATTGATTATTGAGATATCGAGATGCCGAAGACAATATATAGTAAATATCAGAATCCTTTTAAATACATAAATATGTATAGATGTATGGGGTCAATCATACAATGATCTATTGAACTATCCATTTTTTTGGGTTTTAATAACTTTACCCAAAATATCTTATAAAACTTATACAATTTTAGAACAAAAGCTCCTGAAATATATGCTTGAATGTAACTGCTTTATCAATCGATAAATGTCAATTATCCGGCCTTGTGGACTTTTAATATATATGTGCTAACTTCGAGTCCTTTGATATGGATCATGTATATACGTATATATATATATTGGAAGACCCTTTTGCAATTGCTTTAGAACTTACTCAACTGGCTCAATGCCTCGATTCTCGCGCAAAAGTTCGATGATGTCGGGCACGCCGTCAATGTGACCGTTCACCAGGTAGACCAGAGCAGGTGTGACCAACTGCTCGTTGACTGCTTTGATAGTCGCATAGTTCTCCACATCGCATATGATCAACTTGGGCTCTGTGATATCGTACATATACTTAACGGTCGCTGAAAAGAAATTAAATTGAATATGTGAATTTATTCGATGTATGAAACTGTTACCATAATTGAAATCTGGATGCAATGGATTGATGGGCGCGCCGCACAGCATGGCGGCAATGGTGACGCCCGTCAGATAGCTGGTATTATTGGCCGATATACCGATGACGTCACCGCATTGCAGTCCCAGCTTCCTGAAGGCGCGCTCAATGATTAGACCCTGTTGGGCCAGCTGGGCACCGGTTAGCTCCACTCCCGTTATGTCGCAATGCTGCAGCACCTTATCCGCATTCAGATTGAGCACACGCATCGTGATCTCGCCCATTGTCATTTCAGGCCCATAGAACTCCTTGCCCCGCGGCCCCATCCAGGTGCGTGTGGCGCCATCGTAATGCACCTTACAGGAGTCACTGCTGTTCATCTCGATAACTTCAAGAACGCTTTTCAACTAAGTGCTTTATTGCGTCTTCCAATGTTTTTATACATGTCGTAAATAGGAAACACAATCTGAACTTGCTAATTGACTCAACACGTTGCCAGACATTTAGTATTTTTTTGTTTTTGTTTTTGTTTTTGATTTTTTGTTTTTGTCAACTGAAATTTATTTGCAATGGGTGCCTAATGTAAGCATCTAAAGCTGACATAGATGTTCAGCTGTGTTTGGGAACTAGTTGGAAATCTGTTCACTCAAGAGAATATTTAACATGTCTGACTAATTTAAGTAATTAGCTTATGTAACTCAACTTGTCTCTTGTCTTGTGAAATTCATATATTAAATTTCCATAAAATTTCCACCCAAAATATTTCACAATTTTGCTCAACACATTTTGCTTCATTATGTGAATGATTGATTATTTATTTGTTAATGTATATTTTATTTAAAATTTCTTTACAAAGGTGTGACTCCAGACAGTTTCCTTACTTCCGAGAGGATATTGCGTCTTTGAATCTTCTTATTAGTGGTCTTGGGCAGCTGCTCCATAAAGTAAACCCCACCACGCAGATGATATGCCTCGCTCAGATGCTTTGCCACAGTGGAGATGATTTGCTCTACTGTTAGATTTTTACCCGCTTCGTTCTGCTCACACACCACAGCGCAGGCTGTCAGATTGGTAGAGACGTCGTCGGGCACACCAAAGATGGCTGCCTCATGGACTCCTGGCAGGTGCAGGATGACATCCTCGATCTCCTTGGGAAATATATGAAATTGATTGTACTTAAACACTTCCGAATCGCGTGTCTGAAAGTGCAGGAAGCCCTCCTCATCAATGAAGCCATAATCACCAGTTAACAACCATTGCGCATCGGGCGTTACTGTCGTTTGAGTGTCCTGCGGATTACGATAGTAACCACCCCAGCGGTGATTGAGATGTACATGAATGTGACCAGTCTGATTGGGGCCCAAACCATTGCCATGCTCGTCTAGAATGCGCACCTGGACATTGCGCAGCAGCTTGCCCTCACAACCCAGCGGACCGCCCACATTCTTACTAACGCCCCCAATCTCGGAAAGGCCATACAGCACATGGAATCTATCGCTGCCCAGTAGATCATACAGTCGCCGCCAAGTGGTGAGCGGCAGCTTTGAGCCACAGCAAACAATGGCCTGCAGAGACTGCAGCTGCTGTGTCAACTCGGAGTTTTTGCTCTTCGCCAGCATCGCCATGTGATGTGGCACGGTCAACATAAAGCTGATCTTATGACGCGCCACAACCTCGGCAAAGTACTCGGGGCTGAAGGGTTGATTGGTGATCACACGTTTGCAGCCATTGACGAGCGAAACGAGCATCGTATAGATGCACGATATCCAGTACATTGGGCTAAAGCAGAACACCACTGTCTTCGATGTGAATAGCTGAGGCCTTAGGTGAGAGAAGCAGAAGAGGTGAGAGAAGCAGAAGAGTGGGAAGATGCAGATAAGCAAGAGATATAGTATGTGACATTAGCTAAATATATATGTATTTTCCTTGTGTTAGGCATCTGAGCTTTGTCTTAAATGGAAAATACCATTTTCAGAAAAATAAACTAAGTAACAGAGTCAGTTCTGGGTTGATACCTTCTTCTTATAATAACTATAATATTTGTATTTCAATTGTTGATTAATCTATCCAACAAAACTTAATAAGAAATAAAGTTTATTTACTTACATCTTGGTGATGTCCAAAAGACTACGATGTGAGCGCGTGACTCCCTTAGGTAAATCGTTGACGCCAGATGAGCTAATGATGAAAGCCGTGTCGTCACCCCTCAATTGCGGGCAGGCAAACCTTTTCAAGGGTAGTTTAAGATGTGTTTTTCTTAACTATTTATTTTATTATAATTTTTTTTTTGTTTTGCTACTTACAGCGTTTTAGGATCGTAGCCATCGGCGCTTTTTTCGAGCAAATCTTGAATATGGCGCACCCCTGGCAAACTGCCGCTGATCAGAATGAATTCCGTTTTGAATTTCAAGCTATCTTTAACGGCAGCCAACTTTTTGTAGTTGTTCTGATCGCAAAAGATGATCTTCGGCTTGGTGATCTCGTACATATAGGCCACCGTTTCTGTAGGAGGGGAATGACAGATTCTTGAACAAACCTGTTTAGAAATTTGTTGTTGAGCCGCATACCCTTGTCGAAATCCGGGTGCAATGGATTGATGGGCGTGCCACTTAGCAGTGCTGCAATGACCACCTCAGTGAGGTAAGTTGTATTGCTGGCAGATATGCCAACCACATCGCCTCGATTTAGTTTTAGATACTTGAAAGCATGCGCTAAACGACGACTCTGCTCGTAGAGCTGACCTCCAGTTAGACACTCCCCTGTAGGATCAAGGACCTGCATCACGGAGTCGGCATGTAGCTTTAGTATTAGCAGCGCCACCTCACCCAGGGTCATGTCGGGGCCATAGTACTCCTTGCCCTTCGGTCCCGACCAGATCTTTTCAACCTCATCATAAGTTGTGGACGCCATGGCACTCTGCTCTCAAATCCAAGAAACCAACTAAATAACTGAACAACCAACTGTATATGTGGCCCATATATATAGTGGTCTGTTGGCATCGGAACTTGAAGTGTCATCTGCTAATTGACAAAACACGTTTGAGCCGCAAGCCAACAAATCAGTTCAAGATGATCTTCCAATAACAGACGATGTCTCGATGATTTATTGTGTCTACGCTTATTTTCAATGTAGCAGAATTTGACGCTTCAGATAATTATAATTAATATTGTTATTAGTAAAGAAACTATTCTTTTACATTGTATCTTTTAAGTATTAAAAGTGTTTGTAATCATGGAATTTTTGACTCTGCTACAGTGCCACTGTCTATTTACTTTTTTCAAGTTTAGGAAAGTTTTAGCTAATCAAAGCAGTTCCTGAGACTTTCTCCGATATCATGCACCGCTCTTTTCTTAAGATTGTGATGAATATTCTATAGATATCTTAAACTAGTTGAAAAATTTACCCTGCGATTCTCTTATATCTTTTACATTACATTTTTTCTTACATTTTCATTGTACTGTGTACCACTGTACAACTCCGTTTTGATTGCATAATTTTAACAATTAAACGCAGTTTGATCTTCTGGCACTGCCTGTGTTGCAGTGTTGCATGTGCCTGATTGAGCTCTCGTCGAGGACGACGCACAGTGGAGGAGCCAGCCAGTGCCGATAGGGAGGCTCATCCTTGATGCGTGCACGAATCACTTGCGTGCTTAGTTAGGAAATCAAGCGTGTGCTCCAGGACATGCTGAACAGTCACAGTCACTTTTATACTCACAACTTAACATGCAGGCAGCGACTCCACCTCGATGACCCTCCCTGCACTCCTGCACCGCCGTCCCGAACCCCCCTGTGTATGCCAAAGCAAACTTGAATAGGGCCAAAGTTGTTCAGTGGATGCACAAGCGACACTCGATGCTTCTGTTCCCTATCACTGCCCTTGGCGCTAGCTACTTTCAAGAATGGATTGCAACAGCGTCTGTCAGTGCGTGTGGTTGAAAAGTAGAGTTGTGCACTCCTGTTACGGTTGGCACTGTGACTGTTGCTCTTGCTTTCAGATATAGACTACACTTATAAGTTTATCACTATTAAATAATGGCAATTGAATATTTAAAACGATACATTTGTAGCACGAATCTAGATAATGAAAAATTCGTAGATTTGATGTATTCAGATATTCAGGTATTCATTCAAATATAAATTAAATATTTGTGGCCTAATGCATACTTAGTATAGATTAAAAACCTACTTTTATGTAACACAGAAATTGAATCAAAATGGGCGAAGATATGGGCGGGTAATTTTTACTTTTATAAAGAACACTTTGTATGTAATTGTCTTCAAATATAATAAAAAATCATATTTTCAAGTCTGAATGCCGAAAATTATTTAGATAATATTGCTGCATGAAATTATGGCTCGGATACATAAATTTATGCAGGAATGGATTCAAAATACAATATTGATTATCATATTGATAACACTCCTAATGAGTTAGTTAACAAATACTCTTAACAGTGTTGACTAACTCACTTTTTATTCAGAGAAGAGGAACTACGATAGATGTTTTAGACCTGCGCATATCAGGACTGTGACAGTGAGCCTGAAGAAGTCATTTGTCACTCTCATCCGGAATCGCTCAACACTGGTGAGCAGGTGTTTGTCTGTGTGCAGGGTGAAAAATGAATTTGCCTTTAAGTTGGCCAAAGTTTATATATTGATTTTGTCATTGCGGTGGGGCATTAAATTCTGCGAAGTATCGTGGCCAACAACAAAAGTAACTTAATTAATTACACGGCCCGCTAAATGTGCATGCAACATATTTGAAGAGACGCAACCAAAGGGAGCTGAATGAACTGCAAGAACAAAAAGCTAATAAAACTTAGGCAACAACTTTGATATTGGCTTTTGATGAGGTCATTAAACAGTCAAGCAACACAAGAAGCCACAAAGAACAACAACAGCGACAGCAAGGAGATTTCTCAATTCTGGCAGCTCCTGCTAGCTGAAATCTCAGCAATTAAGTGCGAGATATTCGCGCCAAACTCTCGACACAAATAACCAGCGAAATGCGACAAAAGTTGGTAAAAGGCCGCCAAAAGCGGCTGCAGCATTCTTCCTCTATCTCTCTCTCTCTCTCTTTTGGTCCTTGTCTTGCTTGAAATGTAATCAGGCTCAACATTATAATTAACCGCAAATGCAGTTGGGCCCGCGATTCCTTCGTGCTGAAATGCGACCCGCTCGAGTCCAGCCGCTGGGCAATATGTTGTCAGTGACCCCGCTCCCAGTTGCTAGTCCCCAACCCCCCTCAACTGCTATTAAAACTTTTACGACAAGTAGGCGAAAAAATTACTTAATTAAAATGATTGACTAACAGAAAACTTTGTGCGAAATCATTTCTGTTTTTTTTTTTTTTTCGCCGCCTGTCGCTGCGGCGGATACTCCTAACTAGCAGTAATACTTTTCCGGAACAATAGTTGTTTCCGCTTGGGGCTCACTCCTTAATACGCTGATCGCGGCAGGGAAGAGAGTATGTTGGCTCTTTGATAAGAAAACTAGATACTTAAATCTTGAAATACATGTATAATTCTGTATATCTAAATGCATACATAAATCTTGGACCAATTTGCAATTTATTACGCCCAGACATCTAATACATTTTTCCATATGTTTTTATTCAAATTAAAAAGAATAAATATTAAATTTTATTTTTAATTTATTTAAAGTGTGAATATAGAATTACGTTTTGCATTATGAAAAATAAATAATTTAATTTATTTTTTAGTCTATATATTTATCTATATTGACTGATTTAAGTCAGTTGGCTTATTTGTAAATTGATTAAATATACTTATTTGCCATAGTTTAAAGCTTTTTACACTTTTCGAGAATCTTCTTACCAAAAAGCTGCTTTGCCAGCTATTTTTAGTTTGCCCCCCCACTGGGATCAGAGTATTAAGTAGTCGATTAAATCTGACAGCAACGTTCTGACATATTTTTCCCTTTCTTCTTCTCTCTATCTATTTCTGTCTCTCTCCCACGCATATTTATTGTTTGTCTTTGGCCGCCAGCAATGAAATTCGTGGGAGAGAACTCGGACAAACATGCTCCTAGTCTGCGGCTGCTGGTCCGCTCCTGCAGGCTGAGCCGGAGTCATGGTTGGAGTCCATGGGCTTAGATATATCTGGAGCAGAGACGCACAGGCATCTTGTTGTTCATCTAACAAATTAACGAGCGCCTCGAGTGTTGTTGTGCGGTTTCCTCTGCTACTTCTACTATTTTTTTCTCTTCACATTTTCAGTTTTCTTCTCTTTTTCTTTTTTTTTTTTGTTGACCTTCCACTGTGCGGGCAGAAACTTTGAAGTGTTAATGAATTGCAATGGAGTGGGCGTGGCATGAACAGGTCTGGGGCGGCTGGGTGGTGAGCTGCTCCAGGGCATTGTGGTGTAATGACCGTTGGTTTCTGTGGTTAATTTTGCAGAATGTAATTGAAATTATAATTTAATTGAATTTGCTGCGTTCGCATCGTCAACTGAGCAGCCAACCCTTCTAGCAGACAGAGAGGGGACGAGAGCGTTAAGGTAAATTCCGACAGGTAATAGGCAATAGTCTCTTAGGAGCATAATCCTCTTATTTAACTTTGCGTTGTAATCGCTTAAGTGCATGATTTTAATTGCGAGTAAGCACTGCATTTTAACCTGTTTAACATTTATCTCAAGTATGTTTCCGTATATATTTTGGTCTTGGCCAAAACTTATTGCCTTTGATTATGAGCACTAGAAATTAATTAGTTCTGGCCAAGGTTGGTTCCAAGGGCCATTAAAAACGCAATTAATATTTTATTATATTATATTATCAATACATTTTGAATGGAATATAAGACTGGACTGCCGTGTACTCTCTAATTTCGTTTTCAATTTTTGTGACAAATACAGTAGCTAACAGCTACAGTAGCTCTGATTACTTAGCAACAGCTCTAATTAGCTCAATTTAAAAAAGAGTGTGGATAAATACTCGTCATTTAAAATGTGTTTGTTTTGGCACTAACTGAATTACATAACTGAAATAGCAATTGCTTCTTCCGCTGCTGTTGTTGCACGTATTTGAGCAAAGTTTTCTCAATTTGCTGCGATTCATTTGCATTTTATTCAACATTTGCTTTGATATTGTAATTTTGCGGAATCCGCATTGGTGACATAGCAAAAAATCACAAAAAATCACAAAAAAAAATAAACGTGCAGAAAAATGTAAGAAAACTGAAGCAATAAGAGAAAAAAGTTCGTTAGTTTAGCTTTCCGTGGCAGGCGACGAATGCTAACAAATAATTTTTTCCTTTTCATTTGCAGAACGCTGCTTGCTGTGTGAAATCTCTTTGAAAATGCTGCACTTGACGCCTCGTCCTTGATGCTTCTTGTGTTGCTTGCAGTTCAGCTTGTTGCTGGTGACTTGAGCTGCTGAGCTGCTGAGCTGCTGAGTTGCTGAGTTGCACAGTTGCACTTGCATTTGGCTATTAATATGCAAAGTGCGGATATGCAGCTGAAGTTGAGCAGCGATTTGTTGCGCTCCATTGCCAGCTCTCTGTGTGGCAGGCAGGCAAATATTGAAACGCCAGCCACGTGCCACAGGAGGTAGCAGCAGTAGTATCTGCATAAAAGCATAAATGCAAATACTTATTTGCAGTTCATTAAGTTGTGTGCGGGTGTCATATCATCATAAGAACGAGAAGTGTTCCACTCCCCCTAATCGTATTGCGATCAGGGTAACTTTCAGCTTGTGCTTGGACGAACATTGCATTTCAATTAGCCCCCAAATAACTGACCCGCAGCAGCAGCAGCAGCAGCAAAAAAAAAAATGAAACTGAAACTGGCAACAAGCTGCACTTGCGGCACCTTCGCGCACGAGTGCCACATGTTAGATGTGCGTTAGTCGAAAGTGATCGACTGGGAGATACCATATAAGCAGTGCCTGTGTTCACACCACTTTATCCAATCAATTCTGAAAAAGTCTTCATCTGTCTTAAGATATTTCATATTAAATTTGGTGATTAATTACATAAACTTTCACATCTACCCAAATAACCCAAGAC